CAACAAAGGTTCTGGCCAAATTTTCACAGAAGCACAATGTGGGAATGGTGAAGATCTTTCTATATAATAATAATTTTAAAAAACAAAGCAAGAAAAAAACCTGAGATGATGTCTTTTTCATTCGATGATTAAAGATGAAGATGAAACCGTGTTACGCTGTTGCTGTTGCTGCTGCTTGAAAATGTCGGTGATTCCATCCCAATCTTTCTTCTCTCTTGCTTCCCAGTAACCTCCTACATACCGATAATTCCCTTCTTCATCTTTTTCAAACCATCTCGGTTTCCATCCTTTCTCCTGCAACCTCCTTGCCTGCAACACACAAAAGGGTACACTCTTCTACACTCAGTCCTACGCTACTTAACATGGTCATGCACTAGACACACAAAGCCTTTGGTTGAATTATGTACCTGTCTCTGTAACTGTTCAAGTCTCAGTTTCTCGGCATTTGCTGACTCATATTCGCCGTTTTCTAAGTGTCTTTGGTCTGGTCTCAATCTTGAATCTGTTGGAGGCAATTTGTCCATCATCCCAGGAGTTATCTCATTAAGAGAGATTGCAAAAGGAGAGAGATTGTATCTTGTTTTTGTAGGACATTTGTCTCTTTCCCACAGTAACACAGCTTCAGTCATTGGATCATATCCCTTTGGTTTTGTTGTCGGATCTCCCAATACATAGTACATTGCTTCATCCCATTTGCCTATCAATATAGCTACTTTCTCCCCGGTTCTATTGTCTTGCACAAAACCGTGAACCTGAAAAATGATTTACGAAATTCCACTGATGATTTTCTTCTCTGTAATTCTTGATACTATAAGCTTCAGTGTCGAAAGAACAATGAAATTTATAAGTTACAATACCTGACGAGGGTTTCGATCTATGACTGACTGCTCCTTGAACTTCAACCGGCAGGAATAATTGTCACCGCCTTTGATGCGCATGGTTCCATAATGATCGCAGTAAAGTTTACCGAGGATGATATTGTATATGGAAGTGGTAACTTTGCTCCATTGATATGTCTCACCATCATCAAATTTTAATGTCAAGACACCCACTGGATCAAGCTGGATTGATCTTCCCCAAAATTTTCCTTTGATATTTGAGTCTCCCCAGAAATTCCAACCTTGTCCCTCACAATGGCAAGCTACAATCATAGGATGATGACTCACCTGAACAAGAGATTTATGTTGGCAAAATGGTGAGGGTTGCTATCAAGTATTGTCTGATAGATTTAGAAAACTAGGGAAATGTAACATTCTTCTCACTTCATGCCTGAATTTTGCCAACACAGCTCATGTAGTAAAAAAGAGATTGTTGTGATGGTTGATTTACCTTTTCAGAGAAGAAACGAAGTCCTTTATCAGGGTAATCAGCTTCATAGGTCTCACCAAGTAGAGGATTAAAAGGTTTGCATTGCCTGCCTTCCGTGGACGCATAGCCAGATACAGCGAAAGCTGCGATGTTTAGAAGCCTCATCAACTCATTACCCTGAAATGAGAAAAGACAAAATGTTAAAAACGAAATTGTTTCAGCTTTGGGAGTGAAACTCGCAAGATGATACTATCTTGATTTCAAACATAACTATCTGGAGTTGCAGTGAACTTGTGGACAACAATATTAGATGATATAGGCTCAGGTGGAAGCAATAAAAATAGATATTGGACTAACAGCATAACTGGTTTCCAACATTCTACTTTTCTGACCGCACACCAGAACTGTAATAGCATCAAAATAAATTCTAATAGTCCCAACAGATGCAGATGCTGTAATTAAGAAGAATCCAGTTTTTTCGGATGGTTTGGTGTTAGTCTTGAGTTCCAAAGAGTTAAACCTACAGCTGGATAAGTCAGGGCAAGTTGTTTGGTAGGGGACAAATACCACATGTTGCGTCCAAATGTTATGGACATTTCGAAATAAGCCGGCAAAACAAATGTTTGGAAACATATTTAATATCACAACAAACCGCCTACTTGAAGAATTAAACATGGGCTGAGGGACCTGACCTGTTTCCCCCACTCAAGTGCTCTGTCTATCAAATATGAGTACTCCAAATCCTCAAAGCACTTCTGCAGAGAAGAGAGTGGCTCATTAAAATATACGGGGAGACAAACTCCAGACAAGTCTTTGCCGATGTTTTCTTTGATGATTGACCACAATCCAACTGGCTTTTCCTTCTCCTTTGGCTCTGGTAAATTATCTCTTCTTCTGACATATGGATACTGTGGACTCCTAACGGGAACTTGCAAGCGGTCAGAAAAGAAGGGGTCTTTATCGTAAACAGATCCATTTCCTTCAGCTTCTCTGCTACGATAAGAAGCACTCCTCAGTGCGTCGGCTGATAGGATATCATTTGTATCAAAGAAAGGTACATCATCTTCATCAGATTCAACATCTGCTCCATCTTGACTTTCATTATCTGCCTCAGAATCGCTTACAGATACCTCTGACATGACTGAATAGAAATCTGTAGGACAACAATGATGTTAAAACATAAAAACGGCCTCAACTGAGTCAAGGAAGAATTGATCATCAACCAGACCTCTGATCGTTCAATTCCATGTATAATTTAAAACTTGTGAGAGAATATACACAAACATGTAGTTGCGAACGATGTAATGTAACTAACCACTAAATCGTCTTCCCTGTCCACAGCAAGAGTCATGCTCCTTTGTTTCATCAACAACAGTAGTTTCCAGCTCTATTTTCTCAGTCTGCAAGATGATATTCAAAGCACCACATCAATTATTTTACTTTGAACCTAAACCTGTAAACCAAGTGAACCAGACAACAAACAGGAGACTGGTAGTGTAATATATCAAAACGTGTCCATAGGGAAGAACTATAACATACCTCTAACTGCCTCAGTGTATCTAGTAGTATAATGTGTTTATTTGTGAGAACCTTCAACCGATTCTGCAGCACCGAAACTTCTGAAAGCATAATGGTTTCACAATCTTTTACTACTGTCTCACCAATCCCTTCCTGCAGTAACCTTTCACGCAACTTCTCGGTTGAAACAACCGCATCTTCTGAGGGTAAGATGTCTCCACTAGCCACTCTAGGAAAAAGATCCTTGGCCACCTGCAAAGCTTCTACCCAGGTTGCTCTATTCTCTCTCGATACACAACGCAAATGAAGAGTCTTTGTACCCGTAAATATAGCAAGCCTTTTATCATCAGACTTGCTTGCACGAATTGAAGAAACCTATAATAAACCACTACAACCTCAGCTAAAGAGTGAATGCAGTGTGAATCAGCCAGCATTCCATAACAAAAAAAACAAAAATCAAGACAAAGTTATGGTTATAAGACCTTCAAATGTACTTCTCCGAATGGTCTACAAGTCCTTGAAGCAGCTGCAGAAGCTCCAAGCCTGTTGCTACTGTCACAGCTAGCTTTCCTAATGTACCTCACAGATTCCTCTCCGATCACCCTAACACCCTTCTCTCTAGACGGACTCATCACAATCTTCTCAGGTCCATGGATCTTATAATACGACAAAACACCATCCTCAAGCTCGAACCATCTAGCTCTCCAACCTTTCCCATAGTTCACCCATTTATACATGATCCCAGCGACTCCAGCACCGACTCCATTTCCAAAGTAAAAACCTCCTTTAGAAGAAGAAGAATCCTTCCCTTCCAGATTCACGTCATCGGAAGCTACGACTTCTGAAGAGAGTCTCTCAAGCTGATCTTGGCTGATCCACGAAGCCTGAGTCGAGAAAGACGGCTTAGAAACATGGTTGCTACCGGATTTCGGAGGCGGAATAGCTTCGTAGACTAACTGAGACTGTTGATTCGCCGCCGATTTCGCAACCACGGGATTAGTCCGGTCATCGATCGAAACCGGAGCAATGCAGCAAAGAGGATTCATATATATCTCTCTCTCTTACAATCGAATCAACAACAACAACATTGATCAAAAATCGAGATCAAACCCAGATCCTCAAAAAACAGCGATTTACACAGAGCGTAATAGATCGAGCTCTAGTTGATGAATCCAGATCCGGTGGAGATTGGGAGAATCTTGAATCGGCGATTGCAACGAGAGAACTGAGGAAGGTTCT